ATCACTTATTTCCGGTTCTTTGAAAAACATCCCCTTTCCTGTTATTTCCTTGAGTTTACTTTGCTTTCCACCCCCCCCAACTGCCTAAGATAAAAGTTTATTATTTATTATTTGTTAGCTTTTCCATATCCATTATCAGAAGTTGGCCGGAAAACCCAAAATAAACATTTCACTACAAATTCTTTAAAGCATTGAGTACAAACAGTCCTTTTATGCCATGTGTAAAATACAATGTGGAGACAGGGGAAAAAGGGAGGCATTCTGGTGCAGGAAGCAGTGTCACCTTGGCAGTGTCTCCCTGGACCCTGAGGACTCTAACATGGCATCCGTGGAGGTGGCACCCGGCCAAACACCATGTCACCGCAGAGGCAATGGTGCACAGCTTCTGGCGCCCGCCTCCTCAAGCAGCGGATGCCTCAGGAAACAGGACCAGAAGGAGCGAGAGCAGAAAATGAGGGACATTCAGGAACCATGCTGATGAAAGGGCTCATTCCCTGGGAACTCCTACAAGTAACTAGAGGGAACCTTCGGGACGAGGGAAGGTTATGGGATGCACAGGTACTTTTCATAGGAAGCAAGAGCCTGAAAAGATGTGCCTTATTTTTTTATTAATTTTTTTTTCAACATTTATTTATTTTTGGGACAGAGAGAGACAGAGCATGAATGGGGGAGGGGCAGAGAGAGAGGGAGACACAGAATCGGAAACAGGCTCCAGGCTCTGAGCCATCAGCCCAGAGCCTGACGCGGGGCTCGAACTCACGGACCGCGAGATCGTGACCTGGCTGAAGTTGGACGCTTAACCGACTGCGCCACCCAGGCGCCCCAAGATGTGCCTTATTAATTTTGACCAACTTTACCCCCTGGCCTGATATGGTCTGGGAAAATCTAGGGTTTTGAGCCATGAGAGCAAGGGAGCAGGGTATATGCAAAAAAATGGATAGACTCTAGTAATGTTGAAAAAGACAAGTTAGTAACTTTTAAATATCAGTGTGGGGTTTTTTTCATTTTATTTTTAATTTTTTTTAATTTACATCCAAATTTGTTAGCGTATAGTGCAACAATGATTTCGGGAGTAGATTCCTTAATGCCCCTTATGCATTTAGCCCATCCCCCCTCCCACAACCCCTCAGGTAACCCTCAGTTTGTTCTCCATATTTATGAGTCTCTTCTGTTTTGTCTCCCCTGTTTTTATATTATTTTTGTTTCCCTTCCCTTATGTTCATCTGTTTTGTCTCTTAAAGTCCTCATATGAGTGAAGTCATATGATACTTGTCTTTCTCTAATTTCACTTAGCGTAATACCCTCCAGTTCCATCCACATAGTTGCAAATGTCAAGATTTCATTCTTTTTGATTGCTGAGTAATGCTCCATTGTTTATATCTATACCACATCTTCTTTATCCATTCATCCATCAATGGACATTTGGGCTCTTTCCATACTTTGGCTATTATTGATAGTGCTGCTATAAATGTGGGGTGCATGTGTCCCTTCAAAACAGCACACCTGTATCCCTTGAATAAATGCCTAGTAGTGCAATTGCTGGGTCGTAGGGTAGTTCTATTTTTAGTTTTTTGTCGAACCTCCATACTGTTTTCCAGAGTGGCTGCACCAGTTTGCATTCCCAATTATCAGTGTGGTTTTAAGATAAGAAAACAACTCTGCATTAGAGTTTCGTCCAAAGATGTTGAGATTTACATTACTGTTTCTTCACAAACAGGCCATTCCACAGACCCCGCTCTAAAGGGGTAGAGTTAATGAGATTCTTTAACCAGTAAAGCCACTTGTAAACTACAGAAATTCTCAGAGGGATTCATCAGTGCCCCATGCCTTCTGGAGGCATTTAACTAGCCACCTGGAGAATTTCCATCTCTAGACAATTATTTCACAATAAGGAAGAAAAAAAATTGCCTGAGGTTTTCAACTACAGTTAAATTCATTGGAGTCAACATGTCAGACAGTCGGTGTAGCTGCCCCGGGTCTGTTAGGCACAAAACTTTGCTCTTGAGGGATTGCTCATGTCCCACACTGGATAGCATATAGATGGGATCAAAAATTGTATATTCCAGATGACAGAGAATCTGACCTCCAAAATCAGCTCACTCAATAGTTATTAGTAATGATAGAATTTTATTACAAGAAAGAGATGAATAAAATTGCTGAGATATTTATATTTTATTTTTTATTTTTTAATGTTTATTTTTGAGAGAGAGAGAGAGAGAGCACGTGACAGAGCATGAGCAGGGGAGGAACAGAGAGGGGGGAGACACAGAATCCGAAGCAGGCTCCAGGCTCTGAGCTGTCAGCACAGAGCCCAACTCAGGGCTTGAACCCACAAACCGTGAGATCATGACCTGAGCTGAAGTCAGAGGCTTAACCCACTGAGCCACCCAGGCACCCCAGATATTTTATATTTTATAATGCACACACATTGCAATGCATTCATCAAATGACTTAGGTCAGGTTACTTCGTAAGTATAAGGTATACTTTAGAGTCCCTGTGTGCAGTCGAGTTCAAGCTGCCCTTGGTGAGATATTGCCTGAAATCACACCCTCACCTGGCTTCCTAATTACCAATCACCCTGAAAGCATTTCCGTACTAAGTCACTGTACACAAACCTATGACCTTACCCATTCTGAGTCTCTAACTTCCAGTCCTGGATCTTAACTGCCTACTGCATGCATGCATGCATTCATTCATTAGCAAATACTCAGAATCTACTCTGGACAAAGCGCTATTTCTCATTTACACAGTGTGGCTGATATTGGGCCCTTCCTCCCCCATCTGCACCTTCTGTTTCTCTCTCCTATACGTCACAATAGTCAACTATGTAGCCTGGAATGAAGGGAGGAAGGGAAAAAGAGAGAAAGAAAAAGAAGGGAAGAATGGTTTGCTTCCAGCTGGATTCAAGCAGATCCTGGCGTCATGAGGGTGCACGCACCCTTCAGCACCCCCAAACCTCTCCCCGGTTGGTGAAGCTCCCCAGTCAGGACCAGGGGTGGTCAGTTTCCCTTCAGTCACCAGATGGTTTCTTTTTTCAATGTTTACTTATTTTTGAGAGAGGGAGAGAGGATCCCAAGAGGGCTCTGTGTGGACAGCAGAAAGACCAGAGAGACCCATGCAGGGCTGGAACTCATGAACCCTGAGTTCATGACCTGAGCCAAAGTCGAAAGCTTAACCCACTAAGCCACTCAGGCACCCCTTCCAGGTAGTTTCTAATCCAGCTTTGGAGACAGGGACCATGGGAACGAGCCCCAAGTGAAAAACATTACGCACCCGGGGCGTTGCCTGTTGGCTGTTATTAAACCACCTCTGCTACAAGGGCCTCTGGGTGGCTGCACTTCGGTTCAGGTCATGATCTCACAGTCCACAAGTTCAAGCCCCATGTAGGGCTCTGTGCTAACAGCTCAGAGCCTGGGGCCTGCTTCGGATTCTGTGTCTCCCTCTCTGTCTCTGCCCCTCCCCCACTCATGCTCTGTCTTCCTCTCAGAAATAAATAAACATAAAAAAATATTTTTTAACCACTTCTGCTACAGAGCACAATCAGGATGCAACCAGGATGAGCCCCATGTAGGAGCTGGACATAAACCAGAGGACCTCAGCTCCAAATCTCACCAATGGGCTGCCTGAGTTGCCACTAATATCCACCGATCAGGACGAGGCCCTTCCAAGCAATCAAGATGAGGCATTTTTCTTTCCCTTTCTCTCCTTAGCATACTGGGCCCAGGGGGAACCTGGGTTTTGTCTGTTTAAGCAGGGTCCCCCCTCTGTTCCAGGAGACTACATTAAGTATCCTCTGTCAGTGCTGTGTCTCTTTTCGGCTCCAGCCGTAGCCTCCGTAAAGCCTTCTTGTGCCTTTGTTTTTGGGGGACTCCTCTCATTGCTGTCATTGTAGGGCCAAAAACGCAATTCCGGTAATGTTTTTGAAGGATTTCCCTGGTGTACCATCTCAGAAACTAGGAGACGCCCAGCATTTAATAACTGCCGTATGTCCCACAAGTACTGTGTGAGATACTTCATCTCAAAAACCAGCGGTCACGGGACTAGAGAGTGCCTGAATTCTGGCTCTCCACAGTGAGCGTGGCACTTACCCTCTCTATGCCCACAGTCTTCTCATCTGTAAAATAGAAGCAAGGATATTACCTATTCCATAGGTTATAGCCAGGATGAGACAAGACACTCCATGTAGAACATTTAGTACAGCTAATTATGAATGCTACGCTTCTTGGGTTTTGAAAAAAAACCTTCATATTCTAAACCACCCTTTTTGTGTATGATCACAAGTACAATGAATTACAGGATCGTAATGTTGAGAGGTTAACACGTTTAGCCTATAATATAGATAAAAGACTATATATCTATCTTTTTAAAAACAGCATAACCTCAGAGTGAAGTGTAAAGCTGCCAAGAAGGAGCTAGTCCTGTTTGAGGAGCATGTATGTGTCTGTGGGGTCAGCTGGCCGGGCTGCAGGGTCACCCGCAGACTGGGTGGCTTAACAGAAATGTATCATGTCTGAGTTCTGGAGGCTAGAAGTCCTAGATCAAGGTGTCAGCGGGGTGGTTTCTTCTGAAACCTCTCTTGTGGCTTGTAGATGGCTGTTTTCTCTCTCTGTCTTCACGTTGTCTTCCTTCTGTGCAGGCCTGTGTCCTAATCTCCTCTTCGTGTAAGGACACCAATCTTTGGATTAGGACCCACCCTAAGAACCACACTTTGACTACCTCTTTAAAGACCTAGCATCAAGTGCAGTCACGTTCTGGGACAATAGGGCCTTGGGACTTCAATACATGAATTTTGAGGGGTACACAATGCAGCTCATAATTCATTATTTGTAATGAATTATTTGCCGGTTCTAACCAATCACCACCCCCTTTATTTTACATGCTTTTGTCCTAAAGAGCATCTAGCCCTTACACCGATTTGCTTCCTTTCTGGGAAAGTGGCTAGGCCTGCAGGTCTGAAGTTGAGTTTAAGACTAGTGGCAAATGAAAAACACAAATCATCGAGTGTTTCAAAAAGCCTTTAAATGATAGTTGAGTTGCATGAGGTACCAGAGAAGGATGTGGCAGGAGTCAGGACTACAGCGATCTTCAGCTGATTCCCTCTGGTTTGTTTCTGTGTATCTGTTGGCATGATGGTTCACAGCCCTCTCTGGAGCTCTCTGGATGGGATCTGAAACCAGCTGTAGGGGGGAAGGCAAGGAGACGTGGAAGAAAGAGGCAGGCCATTTCAGTTTGGTAGGTGGCAGTTGTGATAAACAAAGGGAGCTTTCATGTCAGGTTTGTCTCGTCGGGAGCAAGATGAATGGATCCCTGCATCTGCCTGCCATATCTTAAAAGTTCATAAAGAGGCCCCAAAAGGGTTCAGCCATGTATACCATGCAGGTGTTCTCAACACCACATCACCATCTCAAGGCTGTGTCCTTAGAGCAGCCTCTGGGGGCAGGAAAAGCAGGAGGACCCCACATCCCCAGGACGGGGGAGGGGGAGAGGAACCTCTAATACCCGAGTCCAGCTCGCAGGTCAATCGTGTCTTTTCAATGACCTTCTCCAACGTGGCAATATACATCATATGTATCATTGATTTCCTTTATTCTCATACCCTCTAGTTTCTGGAAACAGAAGGATGAATCACTACATTATCTTACAGAATACCAGAACCCCTGGGAGAATGGATCAGTTATGACACGGAAGGTGTAGAACAAAGAGCCTGGCTTTTTATTTATTTTTTTCAGTTTATTTATTTTGAGAGAGACAGAGAAAGCGAGCAGGGGAGGGGCAGAGAGAGAGAGGGAAAGAAAGAATCCCAAGCGGGCTCCACACTGTCGGCACAGAGCCCAAATGTGGGGCTGGAACTCCTGGAACCGTGAGATCATGACCTGAGCCGAAACCAAGAGTCAGATGCTTAACCGACTGAGCCACCCAAGTGCCTCAAGAGCTTGGCTTTTTATTTATTTATTTATTTATTTATTTATTTATTTATTTATTTATTT